CTCCAAGGAGGAGTCTCCGCAAAAAAGAGCTGAGGAGGGGAGGATAGGGGAGAATGCGCAGGGTATGGCGAACATGAGGAAAAAGAAGCATTGAGGAAGGATGACGAATTACGCTACCGAGGGACCCCACATATCTATTTCATCTCCTGCGTGCGCCATCGGCACTAATCATATTACCAAAACTACTACTACTACTACTACTACTACTACTACTACTACCACTACTACTACCACTACTACTACCACTACTACTACTACTACTACTACTACTACTACTACTACTACTACTACTACTACTACTACTAATACTACTACTACTACTACTACTACTACTACTACTACTACTACTACTACTACTACTACTACTACTACTACTACAACTACTACTACTACGTGAGTGTCGTGGGTGCGGCGCGGCAGGGAATTGAGGTAGCACGTATTCCCGAAGTTGGGCATGCACACGGACGTCAGGCAGAGGTTCGACAGGTCGTCTGTGACGCCAGCAAAGAAATCGAATATTCTCTGTTTTGCGAACGAGAACGAATCCGCGTGGGCGAGGCTCATGCGTCTGAAGTCCGCCCAAGCAGCGAGCACCTGCGTAATGCGCTTGGCCCTGACCGGGTCGGGGCGCGGGTCCTCTTGGTCAGCCGTGTAGAGAAGCTTCACCGCCTCCAGCCGCTCTGCCAGGGCAGCCTGCCGCGAGGGGCGCGCTGGGCCTTCCACGTCACGCAGAGAGTCGATGCCATGATGCTCTGCGGCGGCTCGAAAGGTCCAACGCCAGGGGCGACATCGCTGACCTCCCCGTAGAACTTGGCGCCAGCTACGCCGAGCATGTCAGACTGCAATGCGAACAGACGAAGAGTGGGAACATCCGTTATGTAGGGCGCATCGTTGGTAGAGTATCTGTTAAGCGCCTTCCACAAGTCGGCATCGTCGCCCCTCCTCGACGGCAAGTACTCCGGATCAGATGCTCGCTTTGCTGCGAACGCCGTGTACCATTTCACTGTTTTCGCATCCGTTTTCGTCATCAGTTTCTCAAGCTGAGCTGATTCTCGCAGGCTTTGCGACCAAGGTACTTCTGCCCAACGGCGGTCCGTCTGAGTCGGCTCAGGGGACCGCTGAATGCGAGGGGTGCCTGTGGAACGAACACAGGTAGCAAGCAGAAGTGCTGGGGACCGCTGAGGAGTGAAAGGCTGCATGGGCGTGGAGTTGATAGGCGTGTCCTGCGCGGGCGTGGCAACGCCCCCGTTGCCGGCGTCGCCGACCCGCCGAACTTTCGCCAACGGCGAGCCATCGCCATCCTCCGCACACCCCCCCGGCTGATCAGCTGGGAACCCGCCGGACGAAGGGTTCAGCAAGTTTTTAGTCAAGCACTGCCTCCTGGCATCGTCGGCGCCTTTTGTTCGCGGCAACTCGTTGTACCTGGTGAGGAGCGTGTCAGGCCACCAGTTTGCCAGCTGTCGGTGGTAAGCATGAAATGCGCCGCGTACCAAGGCGTTCCCATGCCGGAAAACATATATTCGCAAACCATCCAGGCTCACCTCAGCGCCCATATCTTGCATTGATTTCTTGAGCTGCTCGCAAGGCGGTGGCAAAGCAGACATTGCGCATTTGGGCGCCATGACGGGGACCGTACCTTTGGCGGAGAGTCACCGGCGGCCGTCCGCATTCACATATCCAGCAGTCTGAGCCCGCATGAGCCAGGGTGGCTACAATTCTTGATGATGATGACGATTCTGATGCTACAGCTGCGCACCCCCTATGGTGTCGAGAAAGTGCCACGCCTGCTGTGCCTGGACGACCGTCGTGCATAGCGGCCGCGCTCAGGGACCACCCCGTGCGCACCCCCTCATGGTGTCGAGAAAGTTCCACGCCTGCTGGGCCTGGACGACCGTCGTGCATAGCGGCCGAGCTCAGGGACCACCCCCTGCGAACCCCCTCTGGTGTCGGGAAAGTGCCACGCCTGTTGTGCCTGGACGACCGTCGCGCATAGCGGCCGCGCTCAGGGACCACCCCTTGCGCACCCCCTGTGGTGTCGAGAAAATGCCACGCCTGCCGTGCCTGGACGACCGTCGTGCATAGCGGCCGCGCTCAGGGACCACCCCCTGCGCACCCCCTATGGTGTCGAGAAAGTGCCACGCATGCTATGCTTGGACGACCGTCGCGCACAGCGGCCGAGCTCAGGGACCACCCCCTGCGAACCCCCTCTGGTGTCGGGAAAGTGCCACGCCTGTTGTGCCTGGACGACCGCCGTGCATATCGACCGAGCTCAGTGACCACCCCCTGCGCACCCCGTGTGGTGTCGAGAAAGTGCCACGCCTCCTGTCTTTGGACGACCGTCGTGCACAGCGGCGAGCTCAGGGACCACCCCCTGCGCACCCCCTATGGTGTCGAGAAAGTGCCACGCCTGCTGTGCCTGGACGACCGTCGTGCATAGCGGCGAGCTCAGGGACCACCCCCTGCACACCCCTTATGGTGTCGAGAAAATGCCACGCCTGCTGTGCCTGGGCGACCGTCGTGCATAGCAGCCGCGCTCAAACCCCCCCACCCCCCCCTGCGAACCCCCTGTGGTGTCGAGAAAGTGCCGCGCCTGCTGTGTCTGGACGACCGTCGTGCATAGCGGCCGCGCTCAGGGACCACCCCCTGCGCACCCCTTGTGGTGTCGAGAAAGTGCCACGCCTTCTATGCCTGGACTACCGTCGTGCATAGCGGCCGGGCTCAGGGACCACCCCCTGCGCACCCCTTGTGGTGTCGAGAAAATGCCACGCCTGCTGTGTTTGGACGACCGTCGTGCATAGCGGCCGCGCTCAGGGACCACCCCCTGCGCACCCCCTGTGGTGTCGAGAAAGTGCCACGCCTTCTATGCCTGGACGACCGTCGTGCATAGCGGCCGCGAGCGGCGGGCCGAGCCTCAGTAGAAGAAGGCTGCGCACATTCCCCCCCCCTCTGATGTCGGGAAATTGCCATACGCTTGCTGTGCTGGACCGCGACCGTCGTGCATAACGACCGAGCCAAGGGACCACCCCCTTGCCACCCTCCCGCCTCTCTGGTGTCGAAAAGTGCCACGCCTGCTGGGTGTGCCACGCCTGCTGTGTTGGGCGGGACCGTCGTCCATTAGGGCGAGCTCCAGGGACCCACCCCCCTGCGCACCCCCTATGGTGTCGAAAAAGTGCCACGCCTGCTATGCCTGGACGACCGGCGCGTATAGAGACCGCAGCGAGAGACCACCCCCTGCGCACCCCTTATGGTGTCGAGAAAGTGCCACGCCTGCTATGCCTGGACGACCGGCGCGTATAGAGACCGCAGCGAGAGACCACCCCCTGCGCACCCCCTATGGTGTCGAGAAAGTGCCACGCTTGCTGTGCCTCGGCGACCGTCGTGCATAGCGGTCGAGCTCAGGGACCACCCCTTGCGCACCCCCTCTGGTGTCGAGAAAGTTCCACGCCTGCTGTGCCTGGACGACCGTCGTGCATAGCGGCCGCGCTCAAAAACCACCCCCTGCGCACCCCCATGGTGTCGAGAAAGTGCCACGCCTGCTGTGTTTGGACGACCGTCGTGCATAGCGGCCGAGCTCAGGGACCACCCCCTGCGCACCCCATGTGGTGTCGAGAAAGTGCCACGCCTGCTGTGCTTGGACAGCCGTCGTGCATAGCGGCCGAGCTCAGGGACCACCCCATGCGCACCCCCTGTGGTGTCGAGAAGGTGCCACCCCTGCCACGCTCTGCCGTGCCGTGCCCTGCGCACCTGCCTGGTGTGCTATGCTGTGCTGAGTTGTGCTGCGATGTGCTGTGCTGTGCCGTGCCGTGCTGTGTTGCGGTGTGTTGTACTGTGTTATGCTGTGCTGTGCTGTGCAGGTGTGCTATGCAAAACTGCCACGCCAGCTGTGCCGTGGACGACCCCTATGGCGTCGAGAATGTGCCGCACGTGCCAAGCCGTGTGTGTGTGTGTGTGTGTGTCTGTGTCTGTGTCTGTGTCTGTGTCTGTGTCTGTGTCTGTGTCTGTGTCTGTGTCTGTGTCTGTGTCTGTGTCTGTGTCTGTGTCTGTGTCTGTGTCTGTGTCTGTGTCTGTGTCTGTGTCTGTGTCTGTGTCTGTGTCTGTGCTGTGCTGTGCTGTGCTGTGCTGTGCTGTGTGCGCTGCGCTGTGATGTGCTGTGCGGTGCTGTGCTGTGCTGTGCTGTGCTGCGCTGCGCGGCGCTGCGTTGCGCTGTGCTGTGTGCGTGAAGAGGAGGGGGAGGAGGAGGAGGAGGAGGGGAGGAGGGCGGGTGTGGGTGAGACGCGGGTGCGGCGCGGGTGGGAAGAAAACAAGAACCCCACGAAGCATTTGGGAATAACATTACTATAGCGACGATGCCGGAAAAGGCAACAAGGAGTTATCGCTAATTTGTCGGCTTGGCCTCCCTGCTATTCCGCCTGCATGCCACACTTCAAGGACCAAAGTGCATGGCGCGAACCGCCACTGCAGTCTTGTACATATATACACATATATGTATTGCACCGTGGCACCACGCAGCTTGCAGATCCGCGGGGCAACGACTTCTTGTTTGGGGTCCGCGCTGACGAACGTGTCTATGCCGCTTTTTGTTCCCTTTCCTCCTCCTCCTCCTCCTCCTCCTCCTCCTCCTCCTCCTATTCCTGTTCCTCCACCTTGTCCTCTTTCCGTCCTCCTCCTCCTCGTTCCGTCCTTCTCCTCCTCCTCTTCATTCTCATTCCCTCCGTCCTCATCCTCCTCCAGGTGCGGCAGCTCGGCGCGGGGGGCACGTCCCAGGTCTACGACACCCGGCGCCTGCGGGACGGCGAGGTGTTCGCCCTGAAGGAGATCAATGTGTCGCGGCTGGTGCGGCGGAAGTCCAGCCAGGTCGACCTGGACATGGTGTGGAAGGAGTCCAAGGAGAAAACGTTGCCATCGGTTTTTATTCATTGTTTTGCCGATCGGCGCGGGCCCTCGCACTCCCCCCTCCCCTCCCTCCCCCGTGGAGTAGGTCTTGGCTGCTGTTGGCGCCTGTTTCAAGCAGGAGGAGCCTCCCTAATAGAACGCACTGTTGCAAGCAGTCGCATTAACCCCAGGAAGCACTGACCCCCCCCCCACCCCACCTCCCACCCCTCATCCGGAGAAAGTACAACGCATCCGGCACCCTGGAAGCGTTACCTCGGCACCGGAGGAGCCCGCAGAGAGCACTCGGGGCCAAGCTAAGCCTTGCTGAGCTCTGCTAGCTCCCGCTAAGCCCTGCTAAGCAAAGATAAGCAAGGCTCGCCCCCTGCTGACCCTGCTGCGCCCTGCTAAGCCCATGCCAAGCCTTGCTAGCCCCTGCTGAGCGCTGCTGAGCGCTGCGAAGGCTGCTATCCCCTGCGCCACGGAATGTATTTTTTGATTCGTGCGAGGTGCTAAAGATATCGCTCTGCGAAAACGGCCCCTTGGAACTATTATACCCTGGTGCGGTGCTAACGATAACCCCGGGGGGGTTCTTAAAGGCTTCCTCGGGTTAAACAGAGGTCTGGAGCCCGATCCCCCCCCCCCCTTCCGCCCAAGGTCGAAACGCCGAATCAGAAAAACGCCCACGTTGCATGAGCATCGACCATCGGAGTTCCGCGCGGATTTCTTGGGCCTGCGCTGGCGGCGCCTCTGGCGCCGCCCCTGGCGCGCTCCGCGCGCCAGGGACGAAGGGCGGGGCCCCGCGCGGAGCTTCGCGGAGGTCTGCGCTCCTGCCGTCTCGCTTGCCTTCCCCTGGAGGAGGTGGAGGTGCTCCGGGAGCTCAGCTGGCCCACGGTGCTCCACATCGTGGACGCGTGGTGGGGCGAGGGCGCCAAGGCGCTGTACATGCTGCTGCCCGCCTTCGGCGGCGGACCGCTGGCGAAGCAGGTGGAGGCCGCCGCGGCACTGCGCCGGCCCATCGCGCTGGAGCGCATCGCGGACTGGTACGCGCAGACGCTCCACGCCGTCAGCTACCTGCACTGGTGCGGCGTGGTGCACCGGGACGTCAAGGCAGGGCTCGCTCCGATTCCTCCGATCCGATTCGATTCGATTTCGATGGATTCCGATTCCGACTCGATTCGACTTGGGATTCCGATATGGGTTCCGATTTTTCATTGGAGGCCTACTAGCCTGCCGATTTCCGCCGATTCGACGTGTTCCGACTCGGCTGCCGATTTCCGCCGATCCGATCCATTTCGACCGCCGATCCGACTTGTCGATTCTCTCCTGTCAAGGCCGAGAACCTGCTGCTGCAGTCCTCGGGGCACACCCTGTGCCTCGGCGACCTGGGCAGCGCCGAGCTGCTCCCGGACGCCTCCCCGGAGGCCTGCGTGAAGGTCTCCATGACCACGCCCAAGATCACGCCGCCAGAGGCCCGCGCGCCGGGAAGCACACATGGGGGTCCCGCGGGGAAGGGGTCCTGAGACTCCTCCCCTTTCTCGGGGCCTCCCAGGGCCCCAGGGGAGGAGGAGGGGGAGGAGGGGGAGGAGGAGGAAGAGGAGGAGGAGGGGGAGGAGGAGGGGGAGCAGGAGGAGGAGGAGGAGGAGGAGGAGGAGGAGGAGGAGGAGGAGGAGGGGGAGAGGAGGAGGAGAAGCGGGAGGAGGAGGAGGAGGAGGAGGAAATGGTGGAAGTTGACGCCGAGGGCGGGCCCTCCCCGAGCCCCGGGACCTCCAATAACGTTTTAGGACGACTAGCCTCAGGAGGGGACAAAAACACAGACAGAATTAATCGTCGACTCCCAGAAACATGTGCGAAAACATGGGAAGTGGGGAGGCAGGCAGAAACCCCGAAACTATGGAAACATATGGGGCATCTTGTTATCCCTGTCTATTTACTTGCGTGCCCCACGGCCCCCTTCATAGCCGCCACCCCGGGGGCAGGCCGCGCTGGGGCCGCCGTGCCGACGCGGCGGCGGTCCCAGCGCGGCGCAGTCGGGGTGGTGCGCCTCGCCCACAGGGGCCCAGGCGCCCGCAGTGCGGCACACGGCCAGCGCTCCTGCAGAGAGCCGCGTGGTCGCTCAAGATATTGGCCGCCCTTCGTCGTGGCGCCTTGCCGTGGCTGCTTTCGGCGGCGAGCGCCGGGCCCTGCCCGCCCTTAGGGGGCCACATGCGAGCCCTACCCCTGTCCCCCACGATGTCTGAGGGGGAGGGCGGGGTTCACTTCGTGCGGGAGCTCCCGAGCGGAGTGATCCCCCCCCCCTCAGAAATCGTGAGGGGTAGGGGTAGGGTTCGCATGTGGCCCCCCAGCCCTGATAAGCGATCTCAGGCAGCTCAATGAGCGGCGGGGACAGGGCTCTCGAAGAGGAGAAACTCGGGGGCCCCCGAACGGTGTGGTAACCACACCGTGCGGTGAGTCGGTGGGGATCCGGGGTCACCGCACGGTTTTTGGACTCGGGTCCCTCTCCGAGGATGTCTCGGGCGATAGGGGCCTCCTGGGTCCCAAAACCGTGCGGTGACGGACCGTGCGGTGAGGTCTTGGGGGATTTCGAGGTCACCGCACGGTCTGTCACCGCACCGTTTCGGGACCCCCCAAAAAACACCATACACATAATATGTTGCCGCTCCGCGCGGATGTCTTAGATCCGCGCTGGGCCCCCTTGGCGGCGCTTCCGGCGCCGCCCCCGGCGCGTTCCACGCGCCAGGGAGGGGGGTCCAGCTCGGATCCAAGAAGTCCGCGCGGAGTGCCAAAAGTTCATGTTTACGCCGTTAGTCCTTCTTCTAGGTTCGGAATTCGTGGGACACGTGGCGAAACCCGAATCCTGGCCCCGCCTCCCAGCGAGTCGGGAGAACCGAGGGATGGTGGAGGTGGGGTCCTTGGATGTCGCGGCTTACGTTTGTCGAAGGCACTTCTGGACATTTTGGAGCCTCGGGGAGGCCGTCGGGGGGGCGGACCTGCCCGCCGTGTCTTCCACACGGCTGCCTTGATTCCCAGAGCCGTTCCCTCCATGCCAAGAGGTGTTCCTGGCAGGGTTGCACTACGCCGCCTCGGACATGTGGGCGGTGGCCGCGACCTTCTGCGAGGCGGCCTCGGGCGGGGCCGACGCGAGACGCAGGGAAGGGGTCGGGGGCAGAAGGCAGAGGCTGAGGCTGGGATGGTACTCCAGATTTCGCAATAGAAGGGAGGGGGTCCGGACCCTCCAAGACAAGCCATTTCAGACCTCCCCCGCGGGAGAACCCTCCAAGACATCGCCCCCAGCCCCCCCAGGCCCTCCAAGATAGCCTGGAAGAGACCCCCCCCCGAAATGAGACCCCCCCTCCCTTCATTCAGGAGGGAAAGAAACACACAGACACAATTAATCGTCGATTTCCAAAAATATATAGGAAAATATGGGAAGTGGGGGGGAAGACGAAAATCCAAAAAATATGGGAAAATATGGGGAATATTTTTATTTGTGTGTATTTATTTGTGTGTCCTGGGGCCCCTTCATTCATTACGAACTCTGGGGTAAGGGAGGCGGGGGGGGGGGGGGGGGCAGGCACGCGGGCAGGCCGGCCGCGGCCTCCGCCGGCAGCCGCCGGCATGATGCATGGGTCGATCCGCGGCCCCGAGGAGGCCCCGGCCTGGGAGGCGTTGCGCAGCGAGGAGGAGGAGGAGGAGGAGGAGGAGGAGGAGGAGTAGGAGGAGGAGGAGGAGGAGGAGGAGGGGGTTTCTTAGATTGCCCTCTGGGGCCCGACCATGAACCCCCGAGGGCTGGGCTCGAGGAACTGCCGCCAGGTTTGAAAGGCAGCCATGCGACTGGCTGGCGCGCCCGAAATGAGGCCAGCAGTGATGCAAACATCGAAGTTCGGTAGTCCGCGCAGATTCCTCGGATCGGCGCTGGGACCCCCTGGCGGCGCCTCTGGCGCCGCCCCTGGCGCGTTCCGCGCGCCATAGAAGGGGGTCAGCGCCGATGAGAAATCCGCGCGGACCTCCGAGTTGTTATGTTGATGCCATTGTTTGTCACGACGCCCAATAGCAAGGGTTGTCCAAAACCAGCAGCGGCCGTTGCTTGTAGGGCGACTGTTTGTTTCAAGATGGAGTCCTGTTCAGCGAGCCCTGTTCAGAATGGACGGGGGAACTGCTGTCAGTCTTTGTCCCCAGTCTTTCCGCAACAATTTTGATCGTGTCGATCTCTGACCTGTGAGGTTCTAGCACTCGCAGATGGCGTCCGAGTAGATGGGGTCGGAGGACCGCGCCGCATCGGCGATGCATCGGCGATGCGGCTCGATGCGGAGCCCAATGTTCTCCACGCCGAAGTCGCCGATGCACTTCCGACGTCGCCGTTGCATCGGCGATTCGGCGCGATCCTCCGACCCCGTCTACTCGGGCCCACTGTTGGGAGGCCTCTAGTGAGGTGACCTGTCGTCGTCGGAGAGACAGGTTCTGCGAGAAGAAGAAGAAGAAGAAGAAGAAGAAGAATAAGAAGAAGAAGTGCCCAAACAGGTTTTTGGAGGTCCGCGCGGATTTCTTGGATCCGCAAGGGGGTCCAGTTGCAAGGGGGTGGTGCAATCTATTGGGGGCAATTTAATTGCAACTGTATTGCGCCGGAGAACTGTATTGCATTGTATTGCAGATGATGTATTGCCCGCGAGAATCCAAAAACACACATATGCGCCCCAGAGTGTAATGCACGCCACAGACCTACTGCACCAAATCTACTGCACCACCCCCTTGTCGCTGGACCCCCTTTTGAGTCAGCCCGATCCTTGGCACGCGGAGCGCGCCGCGGGCGTTGCTGGAGGCGCCGCCAGGGCGTCAGCGGCGATCCAGTAACTCCGCGCGGAGCTCCGAAAGCTCACGTTTCGATAGGTTCGCATCGTGTCAACCGGCGGTGACCCCGCCGCCAGCGTTTGACCCTGAACGCCACCGGCGACGCGGAGTCCGTCGAGGTCGAAAGATCAGACGTTTGGGAAACGGCCGATCGTTCAAAATTGAAGGATCCCCGCGGTGTTAGAAGCCAACGCCGAAGTCGGCACGACGCGAACCTGTCATACTTAGTTTCGTCTTGCATTCCTCACTGACGCCGTCTCTATCGTCGCTGTCTCTCTCGCCCAGCCGTCTACGCGGACTCGCTCTCGCGCCCAGGCGTTCACAGGCCGCGTCCCTCAGCAAGACGTGCCAGGAGCACGCGCGCCTCACTCGGCGTCGAGTCACTTGCTCCTCCGCTACCGATCGTACCGGTCTGGGCGCTGCCAGGTGGCCCTGCTGGAGCCGCCGCTCGACGTCAGCATCGTCGACCACGAGGCCGTCTTCCAGGTGGCCGGGCTCGAGCCGCGCCTGCAGGACGCCCTGGCCGCCTGCGCCCGGTGCTCGCCCGGGGAGTGCCCGGGGGGGGCGCCGGCGACCGACGTGCTGTGCGCGGAGATGGGCCAGGACTCGGTATGATCGAAGTGGGCACGGGAGGGATGGGTAATTACGAAGGCTTGCATCAAGCCGGGCGTGTCCCTCTCTACAGGAGGAAACTTCAGAAACAGTCTGGGCACGATTTAGTGCACACTGCCTGACCATTCTGGGGTAGTTTGGGGTATTTCTATTTTTCCGCCCAAGATCCGCCTGTGGGGGGATATGGCCGACCTCAGACCTGCAGCAGGTCCTGCTCATTTCTGGCAGGGCCCGCTGTCCGTGCCGCCGGGGGCGTGGTCCACCTCGAGGCGGCAGGCCGCCCGCATCCAAGAAGCGGCCGCTGCCAGCTTCGGACCTCGTCTGCTGCTGGGCATCGCGCCCGTTGTTCCGCACCCACGTCGGGCGTCCAAAAGGGTCGGGGAAGCCCAGAATGCCCTGGCATCGCCCGGACGTGTGCGTTTGTCACCAGAGACAAGAGTACCACCACCACCAACAGCTAAGGTGGGTGGCTGTCCCATCCTCTCGAGCTGGTGGTAGTGGTACTTCTGTCTCTCCTGATTTTGTTCTCGTCCCATCGAGGAGTATCTTGGAGACTCTTTTGAGTGAGCATCGTAAGGGCTCCCATTCGCCAGAGCTCCAGGCCCAGGGGAACTCGGGGACCAGGGCAGACGAAGGAGGGCAGAGAGGTCATTCAGCAGAATGCAATCCCTAACCTTAGTGACACAATGAAGTCGCGGCATGGCTAAGGTTCACGGTTTTTACTCGGTTGGCGCAAAAGTGGGTCCAGCCAGAAAGGGATGGTACATTCGATTTTGAGCAATGGTGTTGCACATGTATTGCGCTAGATATTGAATCTGCATTGTATTTCAACTAATGCATTGCACGCAGAAGCCCAGCAATACATTTGCGCCTTGGAATATGTTCCACGTTCCGATTCTATTGCAAGCACAACTCTTTTGCACCAGATCCATTGTGTACCATCCACCGCACCCTCACTCTTATCCGCATCTGCGCGGTGCTACGGTATATATTGCACCGCATGGCACCACGCAGCTTGTAGATCCGCGGGGCAACGACTTCCTGCTTGGGGTCCGCGCTGGCGAACGTGCCTATGCCGCTGTTTGTTCCCTTTCCTCCTCCTCCTCCTCCTGCTCCTGTTCTTCCACCGTGTCCCCTTTCCGTCCTCCTCCTCCTCATCTTCCTTCTCCTCCTTCCTTCAGCTGGCCCCCGCTTGCGTCAACCAGATGCTAGTGCTGCCCCTGAACATTGGTGGCTCCGTTTGACACCTCTGCGGCAAACAGAAAGACCACCTATCCCAACTTGACGTGTTTGGCCCGCCCTCCGAACTCAGCTCGAAACCCAAAGGATCCGGGGCACAGTCGACCCGCGCAGCAAGGTATCTTTTGCATCTTCCCGAGGGCTCCCTTTGCATCTTCCCGAGGGTGCCCTCGCATCCCGAGGGTACCCGACAGTCGAGGCGAGGCGATCTTCCCGAGGGTACCCTTTGCATCCCTGGCCTCCTCGGCCCATCCCCGGCCAGCTCCGCGGGCCGCGCCCCGCTGGCATCGCGTCGGCATGGCCTTCCGAGGCCCCTGCACCCTCACCGCGCACCCTTACCGACGCGGGTGGACTCCGCGAGGTCTGCGGCGTGCGGGTTTGGGCCCCCGCCCCGCCGTGGCTCGGCGCCGTGCCTCGGCGCGCGCGGGCGCCCGCCTCCCCGCGCCGGAGGGGGGGGGGCGCCCGAGGCAGCAGCTGCATGAGCCGATCTCGGGAGCCTCGAGACGGGGGTCGACGCAAACGGGGGTCAGCCAGGGCACCAGATCCTGCAGGATCCTGCGAAGACCCCCTCTGGCTGACCCGGGTTAGGGAGCCGCTCGTGGCCGCGAGGCGGCCGCGCACATTGGCTGACCCGGGTTTGCGAAGACCTGCGTTGCAGTTTTTTTTTCCTGCATTGCAGTTTTTGGTTTCCTGCTGACCCGGGTCTGGATTGACCCGGGTCAGAAGATCCCCGACGATCGCTGCCCCCCGCATTTTGTACTCGGGAGTGGAGAGGAGGGGCAGCGATGAAGTCGGGCATCTCCCCCATAAAAGGAGGGATACGCAAACACTACACCTCAGGCGATGCTTAAGAAAACTTAAGTTTTCGGCCAGAGTCTCGATGATTCTTAACGTTTCAATGTAAATCTTAAGTTTTTAATGGGAATGTTGGGTTTTTATTCAAGTTCTGAGACTATGAATTTCTTAACCCATGATTTCTTAAGCATTTCGCAGGGTGTACAACAAAAAGAAGAGAGTGGTCTGGGGACGATGATTCTGCTATGGTTGACCTTTTTTTTTGAGTTTTGAGTACTGTTTGGCCATCTCTTCTCCCTTACAACATCCGTCGGGGGTGGACAGAACCCCAACAGTGACACGTCGATTAGTGAATTGTCCGTTTTCGGTTCTCGAGAGGGCGCCGTGGCCGTCATTTTCCAGGCTTGCGCCCGCCAGGTTTGGGCCTCAGGTCGTTTTCACTAAACCACGTTTTACTAAAGGGGGGCCTGTCCATCCCCGAATGATTCTGCTATGGCTGACCCTTTTTGTTGAGTTTTGAGTGCTGTTTGGCCATCTCTGCTCCCTTACAACCTCCGCCTGCAGGAGGACATGCCGGACCGAAGGCAACGACAGGGCGGGAGAGAGGACAGGTCATGGGGGGGGGCGCATCGGCCCCCCGTCGCCCGTGGATCGCAGACGGGGCTCTGATGGCCCGACCCTGCCACGGAAGGTGCGGATTCGCCATCGTAGGCCGATCCCCAGTGCATCGGCGTCGGGGGTGGACAGAACCCCCAACAGTGACACGTCGATTAGTGAATTGTTCGTTTTCGGTTCTCGAGAGGGCGCCGTGGCCGTCATTTTCCTGGCTCGCGCCCGCCAGGTTTGGGCTTCAGGTCGTTTTCACTAAACCACGTTTTACTAAAGGGGGGTCTGTCCATCCCCGACGGCGATGTATCGCCGATTCCAGGTCGAGGGTTCCCCCCTGTGCAGGTCCCCCGTTCTCGTTGCCCCTCGCTACAGAAGGCACAGGCACGGCCAGACGCCGATGCCCCGGGCAGATTCGGAGAATCCTGGGAGTAGAGGGGAAGGCGGGAAATCCAGACATATCCGAGTTTGTGGCGACCTACAGTCAGCCCGCACAGTAAGGATGAACGAAGTTCCGGGGTTACCCCTGCATCCTTGCCCTTCGGCCCGTGCCCTTGCATCCCCATCGTGAATCCTTATGGAGCGCGTTGACAATGTGTCGGAGTTTGTGCCGATTTTTCTGTGCCTCCCGGGGCCCCTTTGTGAATTGATCCCCCTCTTCGGCCGACCAAACAAGAGCCGATCAGGGGCAATACGGAAGGGGTGAGTGGGCTCAGCGGTCCGAGGGTCGAGGCCCGGGGTTCGCTCTCTGGCGCTGCCTGTTGCCTCCCCTTGCGCTGCCTGTTGCCTCCGTTTCCTGTGTTCGATGTGTCTGTACAGCCAGGACGCTGAAATAAGGACCGCTTTGGGCTCGGAAGGGGCTCGCTGTGCCTTGCGTCGTGCCGTGGTTGTTCCTCTAGCCCTCCTCGTGCACCCGGGCACCTCTGGTACCAACAAGGAGCTTCGTTTCTCATGTGTCATTCCTTACTCTTCAGCAGCCCAACTGTAGTTGCCGTGATGCGTGCGCCACAGGGAATAAAGACGTGGGCGACGTGCTCCGTGAAAGAGCTGCTCTCTGGAGGGTTCTGACCTCGGGAGATTCAGAAAGGCACTCTTATACTTCTACGCTTTCGGAGGGCCGCGCGGGTTTCTCGGATCGGCGCTGGAGCCCGCGTCCTTGTGCCCCTTCATTCTGGAGGGGTTCCCTGGTGTTCTTTGTATGTTGTAGCTGGGCCCTCTGCCCTGGGATGCGCTCCGTCCAAGGGTTCTCTGCGGGGCACTGTGGACTTTCGGCGAAGGGGCGGCTGTCCTTGACCCGTGCTCTGATGGCGATGTTTCCCAGGGGCGCCTTCGAGGGCGCGAAATGATTCGCGCTTCGCGCTCCGGCTCAGACTCCTCCTCATCCTGGGGGGCGTCGCGGGAGCGCGAAGTTCAGTTCTTCGCACTTCGCGCGTCGCGCAGCCCCCCCACCCCCCCCCCCCCTACCCCCCCCCCTACCCCCCCCCGTCCCCTACCCCCCCCCCGTCCCCTACCCCCCCCCGTCCCCTACCTCCCCCCCCCGGCTTCTCCGCTCGACAGGTTGGCAAGGCCCCCGACCCGCCTCGCACGCCCTGCGCACTCACCGCGGCCACCAGGCCCCGGGGGCCCCGGCCCGGCGCGCCCCGCGGCATCCCGCCTCGCGTCGATCGACGAAGGACGACCGCGTGCCGCGGCCAGGCCCCCGGGGGCCGGGTGCTTCCCGGGGGTCCCGGTTCGCGCTCTCGGTCGGGGATGGCTCGAGGCGGAACGTCGGTGGGGGGGCCCAGTGATCCGAGGACCCTTCCTTTTCCAGCGCGCGGTCCCCAGAAGCCCCGGCCCTGGCCCCGGGGGCCGGCTGCTCATCTCGAGCCGCTCTTCGACGGTCCTGGGGCCCCGGCGAGGGCTCCAGGAGGCCGACCCTCGCGGACAACTCGGCACTTCTTCGTTCGATTCGGGTCGAGCGAAAGGGGGGGATTGGGAAAGGGGGGGTTACGAAATTTGCTGCATGCAGCTGGTTTCGGCCTCACCGAGGAGCCCATTCCTCGATACATAGCCGGCTCCGGCGCCGGGAGGCGCCGGGAAAATCAGCTACGTGCGCTGATTCTCAAACCCCCCCTTTGCTATCCCCCCCTTTCGCCCGACCCGATCGATGCGTGGGAGTTGGAGGTCTGCGTGGTTCTGCTGGCTTGCCCCCTCCTTATACAGGAGCTGCGGAGCATGCTGCAGCAGGACCCTCGGCACAGACCGTCGGCCGCCTCGCTCGTCGCGGGGCGGCGCGTCTACCAGCGGCTGCAGTTCGTGCTGCGCGGCGCGATGCCGCCCGAGGAGACGGACAGGCACTTCCAGCGCCTGGACCAGGCCGCCAGGGGGCAACGTCAGGCGGGGTCGGCAGGCTCGAGGCTCGAGGTTGTGAGCACGGGGGGGCCTGGGACGGTCGCGCACCTTCTGGCCAGTTCCCAGCTCGACCATCCGGCCCCGCACCTCGGCCATCCTCCCGGCCCGGCTCCTCCGCCATCCTCCTGGCCCCGCACCTCGGCCAGCCTTCACCGAGCGCGTCCCACTACTCGCAGAGTGCCTGCTCGCAGACGCCCGGAAAAACCTATGCCCGTGCTGTTGTAAGTTGTCGCAGATACCCCGCGGGGGATCCAGGCCATCTGCGAGTAGTTACCTTTGCGAGTCGTGGAACGCGCTCGTCCAAGCCGCCCGGCCGCCGCGGAATTTCGCCCCAAACCGGCCCTCAAGCTGCCTCGCCTGGACTGCCAGGGCGCAGGGTGGAGCTAGTTGGCAGACCCGACCTGAAGAGACAATGTGATGACTTGGGTGTGTTTTTTTAGATCTTTGCGCAAGATTTGACAACTTATTACCTCGTAGAGCTCTTCGTTATCGATGAGCTGGAGGAATGCCGGCGCGGGGTGGAGCTAGTGGGCCGACCGCCGCAGACGTGCGGACCCCCCTGGGGCCCACGAGCTTGCTGCCTTAGAGATTCTCGGGTGCCTCCGGGCGCTCCCCGCGGAGCCCGGGCCTCTCGGGCGGCCCTCCGGCACATGCCGGGAGCGTATCGCATGCGATTGGATGAAAAAGCACTCGTTTCATTATACGATCTTATGCTGCTATGCAACTAACACGTTCTGAACATAAGATCTAACAGACCCCGGGCAGGCCTGCGCCCGGCCCCCGGGCGAGGCGTCGACGCCCGGGGGGGGGGGCGCCCGGCTCGTCCCGAGCGGGCCGCGGGAGGCCGGAGCCGCGGCAGGCAGAGCACCGTTCAGGAGCGCAAGGAGGACGTACATGTACGGTAGGTTTGCGTCGTGTCGACCAGCGGCGACCCCAGCGCGGGCGTTCAAGGTTGAACGCCGCCGGCGACCCAGAATCGATCGATGTGGAACGATTTGGACGCTGCGGCAGCGGCCGATCGTTCAAGGTTGAACGATTCCTGCGGTGTCAAAAACCGACGCTGGGGTCGGCACGACACGAACCTGCCGTACATGTACATGAATCCACGCTGGTTTCGAGAGCACGCATTGCACAAATGTTCGTGTAACGCGGCCAGTCTCGCGAATCGAGGGGCCGTGTTCATGTACATAGTCATGGGCGCGTACGTCCTGTGTGGGCTCCCTAGCCACCGGCAGGCCTCACGGGGGCCCAATCGCCCACCTCGCCCAGGCGCGTGCGGACCTGCCACAGTCGGGCCGGACGAAAGGGGGGGGGGATTGGGAATTTCCCAGTCCTCCCCCTTTCGTCCCCCCCCTTTGGTCCCCCCCCTTTCGTCCCACTTTGCATGCAGCAAATTTCGTACCCCCCCCCCTTTAAGGGGGGGGTACGAAATTTGCTGCATGCATCTGGTTTCGGCCCCCCGGAGGGGCCCATTCCTCGATACATAGCCGCCTCCGGCGCTGGGAGGCGCCAGGAAAGTCAGCTACGTGAGCTGGTTCTCAACCCCCCCCTTTGCTATATCCCCCCCTTGCGCCAGACCCGGCAAGCACGTGCGGACCCGCTACAGTCAAGTCGCTGGACTAAGGAACAGTTTGGGTCCGGGAGGGGCTCGAGGTTCTTTGTAGACCCTTCCATGGCTCTTCCTCAAGCCCCCCTCGTGTGCGCAGCCCTTCCATGGCTCTTCCTCAAGCACCCCTCGTGTGCGCAGGCGCTCTCGGGGCCAAACCGGGGGCCTCGTTCCTCGTTCAGCGTTCCTTACTGCAGCTGCCCGACTGTATCGCGGGGCCTCTCGCCGAGCTGCCGGCGACGGATCGCCGGTCCCAGCTCGCTGCTTCCCCCCCCCTGGGCCAGCCCTCCTTCCTGACGTGCCACCTCTCAGGTCATCGAGGAGTCCGCGCAGAGGCCGCTCGCGGGGCCCCCCTGAGCTCGCCTCGCGGAAAAAAGAGGAGTACCGCCTGCGCACCGCCCGACGACGTCCGACGTCGCGAGCCCATCGCAGCATCGTGCGACCAGAGTCCCGGTCCCCATGCTTCGGCGTCGAGCCCAAGGGTGAGGCGAGAGAGAGCGCGGGCCTCCTCAGCAGGCGGCGCGGCTGCCCAGAGGCCCCCCGTTCTGCTGAGGGGGCGCCTGCGCCTTCGGAGACGGCTGGGGCGACTCCTGCGGCGAAGGCGCGGGGGCCTCTGAGAAGCCCCGCCGCCTTCTGAGAAGGCCCTGTCCCCCCCCCCCTCCTCCCCCTCCTCCTCCTCCTCCTCCTCCTCCTCCTCCTCCTCCTCCTCCTCCTCCTCCTCCTCCTCCTCCTCCTCGACCCCCCCACGATCCCCCCCTGTGGCCCGCCGCCGAGTCTCTCTGCGGCACTTCCGAGCCTGCACCGATCGGCGAGGGCCCCCGCGGGGCCCGAGAGCCGGGGGGGGGGGAGCTCGCCGAGTGCGACGAGGGTTTCGCGACGTCGCGTCCCCACGGCCGTGCGCGCCCCGCCGTCGCGGCCCAGACCTCCACCTCCTCTTCTCCTCCTCGTCCTCCTCCTCTTCTCCTCCTCCTCCTCCTCCTCCTCTCCTCCTCCTCCTCCTCCTCCTCCTCCTCCTCTCCTCCTCCTCCTCCTCCTCCTCCTCCTCCTATAGCGTGGTTGACGTCGGTGTCGTGTGACCGATCCCCATCTCCCCAGCCCCATCCACATCTCGAGCCCCACCGTCTCACCACCTCAGTCGGGGGTGTATGCCCCTCAGAGGCCCGAAGAGGGCAGCCCATATCCCCATCGGGGGGGGGTACATCGGCCAGTGGGGCCCAGCCCACGCTGGTGAGGATGGGGATCGGTGAAGCGATGCTCGTGACGGGGACAGGGAGGGAGCTCGCTCGCGCGCGCCGTGGCCCAGGAGCAAGCGGCACGGCGAGTGGCTCCCGCGCCCCTTGTCCCGGCGCGGCGCGTGCGCACGCGCTCGCGGGTTCGGTCCCACCCTTTCCTTTTGTGCCGGTGCGCGGCACTTCTGGGCCCCGCTTTGGCCGCAACCGCGCCTATAGCTCGCTTCGGGGGTGCGGGTGCCTCCGTCGGCGAGTTGTTTCCGCAGCATGGGACCCTTGAAATCCAGACCACCCCCCCAGGGACGGCTTCTCATCCCGAGCCCCCAGGATATCCGAGGCCATCTGTTTTTCCCATCCATCCTGTGGTGTTGGGTCCTCGTCTTGAAGAGACAGCGCCCAGCGTTTTCCTTCCTCCTCCCTCCTCCTCCTTCCCCTCCCTCTCCTCCGTCCCATCATCATCGTTATCAACTTAAGCCTTAGTATCATCATCGTCATCATCATCATCATCCTCATCATCATCATCATCAGCATCAGCATCAGCATCAGCATCAGCATCAGCATCATCATCATCATCATCATCATCATCATCATCATCATCATCATCATCATCTGCATCATCATCATCATCTGCATCATCATCACCATTCATCACAATGATTATCATCATCATCGACATCATCAGCATCATCGTCATGCTTCTCTAGCGCCCAGTACACCTGTTCGTGGCCCCATAGGGACCTCCAACGAAACGCCCAGGGGCAGAACTCGCATTAGGTTTCCGCGCCCAGTACAGCGTTTCGTGGTCCCACAGGGAACTCCAACGAAGGGCACAGTGGCGGAAACCGCATGTGTCTCTTGCGCCCATTACATTTCTTCGTGGCCCCATGTGGAGCTCCACCGCACGTCCCAGCGTCGGAACTTGCATGCGGCTCCTGCGGTGCAAAGCTCCACCGAAGGTTCCACCGAAAGGATTCGCATGCGGTTTCGGCGCCCAGTACACCGTTTCGTGGTCCCACATGGAACTCCAACGAAGTTCCCAGTGGCGGAACTCGTTTGCGGGTTCTGCGCCCAGTACAGCGCTTCGTGGCCCCATCGGGAACCCCATCGAAGTTCCCAGTGGCGGAACTCGTTTGCGGGTTCTGCGCCCAGTACAGCGTTTCGGGCCGCCACAGGGAGCTCCACCGAAGGGTCCAGTGGCGGAACCCGCATGTGTCTCTTGCGCCCAGTACAGCGCTTCGTGGCCCCATGTGGAGCTCCACCGAAGGTCCCAGCGTCGGAACTCGCATTCGGTCGGTGCGCCAGGTACAGCGTTTTGTGGTCCCACATGAAACGCCACCGAAGGGCCCAGTGGCGGAACTCGCATGCGGATCTTGCGCCCAGTACAGCGCTTCGTGGCCCCATCGGGAACCCCATCGAAGTTCCCAGTGGCGGAACTCGCATGCGTTCCCTGCGCCCACTACAGCGGTTTGTGGCACCTCATGGAACACAACTGTCACACGTTTCGTGGACTTCTAGGTGGGCACGTGGGCATGCGGATCCGGCTCCTGGGGGCGCTCGAACTCAAGAGTGGTCTCGTCAAGGATGCCACGAGGCAGGTCGCGCACATCGCTGTGGACCCATCGAGATCGGGAAGCCGTCAACAAAGCCGAGAGGGACGGGGAGAAGAGGAGCTATCTGAAGCATTTGCCGCGTAGGTTTTGGGCGCGCGTGGAAAAGTGCGCTGGCGCGCCCGTCTTGGACGACCTGAGCGCCACCACGACAGCATCACGGGGGACATCGCGGGCCCGCTGGTGTCCATCGAGCCTCGCACGTCGAAGCCGTTCACGTTCCGCACCTCCATAGTCACCCGGGCGGGCTTCCCGCTCTCGCATGGCAGGGCCATCGACGGCAGCGTGCCAGGGGCGCACCATGCGAGAAGGCGACGGGGCGAGGGAACGGCGCCCCCGGGCAGTCTACGGCCGAACCTTCTGGGCGCGAGCGGTCCGCAGCCAGACCATCTCTCGGCCTTGTCGACTCTCGCCCTGGGCCGGCGGCTGTCTGGCGCGCCGCCCCCTCGGCCGACGTCGCCCCGGCGTGGCCCTGGTGCGCGGCCGCCGCGAGGTCGGGGACGGCAAAAAGGAGGGCGACGGCTGGCGGCTGGAGCTCGACGCGCTGCTCTCGCGCGCCGCGCGCCACGAGGACGTCCTGCTCACGCTGGCGCCGCGGATCGAGTTCTCCCTGGCAGGTCCGCCGGAGGGCTTGCGGAAGCAGCTGGGGCAGTTTGCGGCGCGCGCGAAGCGGCGCCGGATGGAGGCGACGGCTTTCGCCAAGGAGTTGGGTTTCACGAGTTTATCGGCGAGGTTTGGCCCGAGGAGCGGCCCGCGCGGGCCGCGCCTTCCCTCGATTGTCCAACTGTCGAGCATCGCGCCGCGGGCGACCCGCGCACGTCGCCGGGGCCCTTTTCGGGGCGACCAGCGCGCGTCGCGGGAACTCCGCGCAGTGCTCCGGCGGGCGCCTCGTTCGCCCGTCGTTGTTCTGCCACGCGGCCAGAACCCGGCCCGCCGTCGGCCGGCCAGGTAGTCCCCCCTGTTCCGCGCAGCGGGCGACCCGCGCGCGTCGCTGGGACCCCGTCGGGGCGACTGGCGCGCGTCGCGGGCGCTCCGCGCCGCGCCGCGCCCGCAGCCTTCGGCGTTGGATTGCGCGGGCGCAGAAGGCGGAAGAGAAGGGGGGAGCAATCTTGGACGGCTTAGTTTTTTCGTCGCTATTCCCCACTGAACAGACCGCGGAAAGAGGGAGCTACGCCGAAGGCGCTATTGGGAGCTCCACCGAAGGCTCCAGCGGCAGCTCCCGCGCGCCGCCGCCATTCCATGTTGGCACGCCCGCCACGCGGTTCGCGCCTCCGTAAGGAGCTCCGCCGAAGACGATATGCACACACGCGGCATTTGCAGCTGCAGATGGTTGGGTCCGTCGACAGGCTAATTTCAGTCCGAAGGTCTTCCAAGATTGCGATGGCCACGCGGCTGGCGCTGACGACCCCGAGGAAGACGACGACGGGGGCGAAAGGGAGGAGGAGGGGGAGGAGAAGCAGGAGGAGGAGCAGGAGGAGGAGGCGGAGGACGCGGCGGAGCAGCAAGCAAGGGAGGAGGAGGATGCGGGGGAGGATGGGGAGGGCGAGCTGGGGCAGGGGGGGACGGGGTAAGGAACAGTTGGGGGACGATAGAAATGGCAGTCGGATGGGCGGAAAAGAACACAAGACGCGGGTGAGGGGATGGAGGAGGGGCAGGAAGAGCAGGAAGAGGAGGAGGAGGAAGAGGAGGAGGAGGAGGATGAGGAGGAGGAGGAGGATGAGGAGGAAGAGGAGGAGGAGGAGAAGGAGGAGGAGGAGGAGGAGGAGGAGGAGGAGAAGGAGGAGGAGGAGGAGGGGGAGGAGGATAATTGGAATGATGAGGACGATGGAAGGTTGCGGAGCACCGGAGGCAAGCTCGCGGGGGAGTGGATGGAGGATGACGAGGAGGATGACCAGGAGGACTTTCATGACAGGCCCGACCTAAGTATGTATGGGGCCGCGGTTGTCCAGGCTCCGTTTCGGTCTGGTCGATATGGTTCGAGCGCGGCCGATCCGATTCGATGGCGATTCCGTGCCGACGCAGCCTAACCCGATGCACGCGCAAACCAGATAGATCACCCCCAGGGTCGCGAACGTACCCACGCTTCGCGCGTCGCGGTCTGGTCCAGAGTTGGTGGCCTTCTTCAAGAAGGCGGAACGAGTGCGTGAGGACGGTAAGGTAATCGCGGACCGCGGGGTGCAACGCGCGAATATAGGCGATACAGGGTGCAAACACGGCACGTAGTATTTGTATTATTGACCGTTTCTGGCGTTGCAACCTTTTGTCGGTGCACCGTCAGCCGCCGTCTCGGGCTTAGCCGCGGTGGCTCAAGTCACGAGTGCGCATCCAAGATGACTCCCAGGGGGCTTCTGCGTCGGCCAAAACGAGCCCCAAATGGCCCCCCAGACGGGCAACATGGCCAGGGAGAGCCCAGGCTGGCCCCGAGAAGCTTCCAAGACGGCCTTCACACGGCACAAGATGGGCTCAAGACCGCCCAAGGGGGCCCACCTTTCCCTTGCGCCCCCTCTCCCCGCTGCTCCTCATCTTCCTTTTCCTCCTCCTCCTCCTCCTCCTCCCTTTCCTCCTCCTCCTCCTTCTCCCCCTTTTCACCCTCGCTGGCGTGACTGAGGACCTCGTGCGGGCGGATCAGGAAGCCTTCGAGCCGTGCGACCGCAGCTTCCGGCTGTTGGCCGAGCGCTTCGGTGGACCGGGCCCGCCTGAAGACGGGCGGCAGCGTGTTTGAAGAGACCCAAGTGCAGTTACAGGGGAGCTTTCGGGGATCGTTCCTCCTTCCTTCTCCTGGTTACGCCTCCTCCTCCTCCTCCCGTTTTATTTCTCTTCCCCCTTGCCTCCTCGATCTCTCTCCTCTTTCTTCGCCTTCTCGCATCCTCCTCCCCTCGTTTTCCTCCCTGTCCTTTCTGCTTGGGGGGTTGAAGGCTGGCTGATTGCGTTGGAGGAGAGGACAGGCTCGTCATCTTCGGTTCCTGGATACGGTTCGAACCCGTTCTTCTTTGTGTAATTATATGGGCCCCTGTCAGCCAGTAGGCTTTTTTTGGAGGTTGGCCGTTCACCAAAGAAGAAACCGCCCTTGCCGGCCGCGGCGGTCACGGCGCCGAGGAAAATCAACGTCCGCGCCCCAGCTGGAAAGAAGGATG